GTGGTGAAAGGAGCGTATCGAAATTTGCGTGGTCAGATGGAAGAGCGGGCCTGATGGCCCGAGTCTCGCCACGTAAAATAAGGCATCAATTCAATTCAACGACACCTGATCGCAAGAGTTGCTGAATGCCCGGCGCGCCGTGGAAATTTTGACGGCGTCTTCGGTATTATTTTTCGTTTTTCTCGAAAACAAATTGCCAGTGTACGTTCATTTTTGTGGTGAAATATATATGCATTAGAAGTAGTTTTATTTATTATTTATTCACTTATTTCAATGTATTTTTATATTGTATGAGGGAAGAAGGTTAGCATTAATACCCATATTTATTTTGATCCTCATAATTCTGCAATAAATATTTTTTTCCGTGACTGTATATTCATACATAGTGTATAGTCAATTTTGAGAGCCACTGTATCTATTTATACTTATTACAATATTCCCAATATGATATCCATGCACATTAGTAGTTTCGACACTTGATACCCAAATGGAATCCATTGTTTCCATACACAAATCTGGGACAGTTCTTTTTTATTGTAGATTCATGTGGAATTGTTTCAAGTGCATATTTTAACAGAAATTCACGTACCACTGGATTGCTAAATTTCCATACAGGAATGACGGTATAAACCATAGCCTAAGACAAATCAATTCAAAAGTGAGATGTTCAGGGCTTGCGCGAGCATGATATTCAGTCAATAAGAACTGTTTGGAGGTTTGGATATTTATCATAGGTCATACCACAAGTGCTTTGGAAATTGTCTGTAAATGCCAGACTCACGAAGCAAGAAGGGGCTTTATCAGAGAATTTCCAAAGCACGAGTGATATTTAATGGAACTATTCCACAAATGAAATTACGCCCAACAGAGTCCCAAAATGCGCTAAATATTGAAAGTAACTGAAAGCTATGTTAAAATCAAAGAGGAAAAATATGCAGGAAAATGGAAAAATTCAATATGTAAAAATGTTCCTATGGGTAAAATATGTAAATATATGTACCTTCGCGTAATATATAAAAAAATATGTAAAATCAACGTTTTTTGGCCCTATCCTACATAAAATATGAATATATTGTTGATTCGACGTGACAGTTACGTTTTGAAAACATATTATTACAATTATCCAATTATCTGGGCAACACAAATACGTATTCTATAACTTGAGAGCAAAAATACCTTGTTTTCAAATGTTAATAACTTCGCTTTGTTAAAACGTTTATTCATTATTCACCTATTTTTTATTAAAAGGTGGGTAAAAGATTCTGTGGCTCAAGAAAAGGTGCACATATTGTACTTATCCCCCCTTCGTCACATTCAGTTTTTACTGTTCAACTAAACCAAATCAAATAATATGCAACAATATATTCCTCTTCAGGCAATTTGAACTTGTTATGCAAAAGATTTACACCCATGGTGAAACAAGGATTTGATGGGTTAAACAAGAGTATTTAAAAAAACCTCAAATGGTTCTTACAGATAACCTCAGAGCTTACTCTAGTCAAGACCCTCAGATAATGGTAGGCAAAAACATTTTGAGGCAATGAATCACCTAAGTGGGCACAAATCTTGGCACACATCTCTTGCAAAGGATCTCTTGGGATGACTTTGCTTAACACACAATTCTTCTTTTACTTTCTCGCTACGAAAAAGTAGTGAATCATTCACAGAACTCTTCTTGCCAGACCCTGATAACAAAAAAGTTCAGAGAACCAGTTGCTAAATTTAAAAACTAGTGGTACTCAAACAGGGTATACTCTCACCTTTAGTAATAGTTATGTAATACTATTTACACCACAATTCCTCTCCGAAATAACACATCTGTCATGTTTTGTAAAACTCATTACAAATTGTACATTTAGTATAAAAACCAAATATTTTCAAGCAAATATCAACACAAATTTGGCAATTATAACTACTTTTCATGCAGGTAAATCAAGTCCCAACAATAAGATGTAATTTGCAGAAATTAGCTGCCAATTATTGCATTCCAATCTGATATTCCCTGAAGGCTAGCAATTTTTTATTCACATATTTCAAATAGGTATGAATAATTTCTAAAAGATTAATTTGTAAATGAATAACAAAAGCTTAAATGTACCAAACAAAGAAATATGAAGTAAAATACAAATTCCAACATACGAAGCATCCATCTGCCTAGACTTTTCACGAAGTGCAAGGAATGGGATAGTGTTTGAGCCACATTACACAAAAAATACTCATATTTTGAAAGAATTCAACATCACCTTCTTTGAAAATCTGTTTTTGATTAACACATTTCATTAAGAAAAAACTATATCTTCACAATGGAAGTTGTAGAAAGTAGACAAATGTATTTAAATTTTCTAAAAATCAGGCTTTTCAACAAACATGAGACCTGCACCATTATCTTAAGCATCCTTTAGGTTATCTAAAACCTCAATTTAATCAAAAATGTATGCTCTTTAAAAAAATGGTTTAAGGAAAAAAATTGCCTACGTTTACTCCAAATTTCGCAAAATATATTCATGTTTTTGAAAAATGGACATGGCATTATTTTTAGATTTTTTTATGAACACAGTTTATTAGCAAAAAATGTTTATCTTCGTAATTGTAGTTGTAGGAAGACGCCGAAAAAATTTTGAATTTTTTTTCGAAAAATCAGGAATTTCAAATTTGGATTTTCAACCAAATGAGACCTGCATCATTTTCTTAAATGTCCTTCAGTCTATCCAACAACAAAATTTCATTTAAAACGATGGAGACTTTTTTTGAAAATTTGGAAAATGTCCCACGGACTTCATGTAAAGTACAAACCCCTAATTAAAATGTTCCAAATTGAAGGGTAAGCGACATCAGCCAGATCGATCGGGGAATATAAATTTTGAAGAAAATCGGCTGAATGGGTTACCCCGCTGGCGTTGTTCAGACAGATTTTTTTCTGTTAATCTTAATTTAGCAACTGAATTTATCCATTTTTTCATTACAAGGACCTGTAATAAAAGTTTTTTTGTCAAAAATTCGCCATTTTTTCGCACAGCATTACATAACTTTTTCTGTACGGCGTACGGCGGTAGTGAGAAAAAATCCTCTAACACGTGGTGTGGCCAGAATCCTTGTTTTGTCCTTGATACTGAAAAATAGACGGACGGCAAAACGTCCGTTGGTCTATTGGTGAACAACACTGGCACTTCTTTTTCATACTGAATTGTTTCCTCTATCGATCTGGTCCGAGTTAAAACGCTGCAACTTTGAAAAGCATTCATTAATGTTTATGGGTACTTTCTTTGCGTTAAACCCTTGAGACATTCTCAAAATTTCCGCTAAAACGGCTTGAAAGTTTTTCCCTTAATTTCTTTTAAGAATAGAGTAAAATACACTTATAAAGATGGTCATGGTCCAAATTTTTTTTTTGAAAACTTTCGAAAAAAAAATCTCTCAATTTTCTATAATTGCATAAGTTTGAATTTTTTTGCCATCTTCCTACATCAACAAAATTGAAATATTTTTTGCTGACAATTTTAGTATTTTTACGTGCAATCTAAAAAAAAAAGATTTCATCAAAAACAGCTCCAAATTTGTTCTTTGAACTTTTGATAAGGATAGTGTTATTGTACTCGATGAGATGACAAACGCCTTTTTCCCCTTTTCTTTTCTTTTTTCAAACACTACAAAAATTTAATCATTATGACTACCCTCAAAAACATTGTTAATATTTACATAAGTGGCGATTTCTTTACATTATTGCATTTATGAGTACATGAGAATGATGTCTTATAAAGTTTCTTGATAACTCAAAATTAGGCATTGTGAAAATTCGGCACTGTGAAAATGAGCTCAAAATTTGGTATTTTCAGAAATGCTCAAATGCTATTTTATCAAAAACTGTTCAAAATTTGTCCTTCTATATTATCGAATGCTAGTTGTATACCTAATGTGCTTATCCATAAGATCCTATAATAAATGACGTGGGTACAAATTTCAAGAACACAATGAAGCAAATTTAAAATCATTGGCTGTGTCTCTTTTCCTCTTACATGCATAACCTTTAGAGGATTTGTGATGTTATAGTATATATTAAGCTCAAATTTCCCAAATACATTACGACCAACTTGAAAGACCTCAAGCGCCACATCTAAAAACCTTTAACATAGTTGCGGACCATACTTTCATTTTTCGAACAATCCACATCAGACTTTCCCATATTGTAAATTTTGGCAATTTGCCTGGCTGTTCTGAAACAGGGAGGGGGAGTGGAGCCATGCTGGACACCTTACTACGTACGCATAACGGAGTGAAACATATTAGGATGATTTTGAATTTCTGGATTTACAAAAAAAAATTCCATTCTAAATATAAACTTCACCTGTTTTTACATTTAAGGAGGCGTTGACCCCAGTATACACGTGCCCTACACACACAATGTTCTCACACAATAAGGATCCAAGAGAATTTTCACTTTCCATTAGTTACCTTTCACAGCTGCCAGTTGGACATCCGTACATTAGACTTTTCGAGTAAGTATAATATGTTAGTTTAAGAATTAAAATGATGTAATGAACTTTAAAATAGTTATTTAATAATGATTTTTATAATTATACAATTTCTTATAAATAATTTTATCATAAATTATTAATTCTGTCTATTTGAAATAATTGTTGGTTTGAATTCTACATGAACAATTTTTTGAATGTGAAAACTTTTTCCCCTGTATTTTCCAGAAAGTGGTCACCCTGAAATTGAACTTTTTCTTGGATTAGCAGTATCTACCTTGTCTTCCCTCATGCTAAACCACTGGCCATGTTCGACAGCACCAGAGGCTGCTTAGTGATGAACAATTATACAAACTTCTTTAGTGGCATTACATTTCTTAACTTGATACCACAAATGATGAAATTCCCTTCTTTTGTTCTTTCAACACACACACAGTGTGCAAGCGGCAAATGCAGAAATGTGACAATACTGCTGCTTCTGAGGCAGGATTAATAGGATTTAGTTTTAGTGTTGAATAAACTACAGGACAATTAAGCTTTTATAAATATAATTATTTATTAACAGTGTACAAAGAATAAGAAACTCTATCATATAAAAACACAAATAGTAACATTAATAAAGTATATGCATTGTTCACAAATGTTTATACAGCATGTTTGTTAATCTGTATTTTACTTCATTAAATCTAATTATTGTAGTTCATTTTCTTTACATTACAAATAGGTTACAAATAATTTCAATACACATTGAAATTACATTACAAATCATTTCAATTGTATTAAAAATATAATTACAAACTGTATTTTGTAAGCAGATTCTCATAGGTGGAAACCTTCCATCCTTTGGCAGAATAGATTATAGCACGTCTCACTAACACACATTATCCATCAATTAAAAATGGAGTTTTTCAAAATCTTAACCACGTGGTTAATTGTAAAATCTAATAATCACAGTTAGCAAGAAAACTTTATTGTGGTATTCTCGAAAGGGAACTTTTATGTATCAAACTTCTAAGTGTTAGAATGTTCTGTGGGATCAAACCACACAACATCCCTCCACACTCTTCTTGGTGCAACCACCCAACAAAAGCAAATGGTGTCACACCCAAAAGGCAAAAGGGAATGATACATCACATTTTGTCACTCACAGGTGATTAGCAGCACAAGGTTTGGTTGCTTCTTGAAATGCCCCTCAATAATGTGTCTAAGCCGTGTAAGGCCTCTCCATACCCTTTGCATGCAATGTTTCACATATATATTTACATCATGCTTTCACTCAGGAAGCTCTAATATAAATTATTCACATATGAAAACTTCATCATGGATTTCATTGAATTGTCAATTTTTTAAATGATATATTTTAACTACCCCACACTGTGAAGCAATTTGGTTTCAAAATTAATTCGGTCCCAAAAAGATTAATCTTTTTCTGAATATGCTCAGACATAAAAATAACTTTTTTAACTCACTAGCACAATTTCCATGCATTTGTTCTTTTCAAAGAACATATATAATGGGATATTTAAGTTACAACATTCATGTAAAGTCAGTAATGTAGATAATATAATTTACAATCTGGAGTTCTTCCAGGAAATCTAACAAAGGATCAAGTGTCAATCACTTTCAATAGAAGACATCTTGTGATGTCAATTTCGTTAATTAAAAGAGTGTCATTAATTAAATGTTAAAGAGCCACTAATGCTTCTGCTTTCTTATTCTTCTTTACCCTTGTGGGAAAACCACCAAACCATTTTTTAGATTTAGCTTTCAAGTTCTCCAAACTCATGGAGGTACTCTTCTTCATTCCTATATTTTCAGCACTTATCTAGAAAAAACAAACATTTATTATATTCAAATTTATTTCACTTACCAGTCTTATTTGCAACAAAATCAGTAATATATAAATGAAAAGCTAGATGTAGGAAAAAATTTACATATATTACAAACAAATCAAAGGAATAATTTAGTCAGTGAATCAAGGTAAACTTTGATGAAAAACCTAGGTTAAGTCGTAGGGCATAGGCCCAAAATTACAATTAATATTACAAATTATATAATCTTATTGTGTAGCACATGTGCAGCATTCAGTAGGAAATCTTAATGAGTATTTTTATGATATAAGTTGATGCATCATATCATGAATTGACGGGCATCAAGCAGTAACAAGATTATCGCCTCTAGACTTCACACAAAGGCCCCAGTAATACAATATTTGATTGAGGTTTAAGTGAGGCTTACCTTGTGACTATTTCTTTTTTTTTATTATTATTATTAGTTTATTTATTAATTTATTATTATTAATTATTATAATTATAATTATTATTATTATTATCATCATCATCATCATTATTATCACAACAGAACGACAATTACCTGATATAGTTCACATCTAATTATAGAACATTTTATGTCACACAAAGCAATGGTGAAGTACTTTTATTGCATAGTACTATATTAGAGGAAGAAAACTATTCTCAGGAAGAAGAAAATGTTCAAAGAGAAAACAGTGTCGGAAAAGTAGACCATTGTGATGACATTAGATAGCTGAAAACCTGATAAGTTTTTTTAATGCATAGTGCTTTACAAAAAAGTGAACACACTACAGAGAGGGAGTTTCCTGTTACCTCTTTAGGTATTTTGTAAATTAATGGAATAAACCACGAGATCCAGTGTTGTCCTGGACACTGCTTTCATAAAAATACTGTGTGTTCTTTTAATTGTGAAGATGCAACTTCAACTCTTATGAAGAAAGTTCTATTGGTCAGACACACAGTTCAAGACATGTTGGACCAAATTAAAACAAAATTGGAATTTTGAATTCTCTGCAATTGGATCTCTGGAAGCAAGTGGCTCTTCTCTTCGAAAAAAGTGAACTTTTACAATTTTCAATATTTCTGTTGGACCGTGGCAAATAATTTTAGAATCATTTGAAAAATATTTTTCTATCACTCGTATTTCCTTAAAATATTTTATGCCTTTCTGTAAATGAATATAGCTAGGAAAACAGCAAAAGCTAAGACAATCAACATCTGATATGCCTAGTGCCAATGACTCAAAAAATGCCTGAAAGAAGCTGAAAAAGATGTCTGATCTTGTTAGGCAGCATTAAATTCAGCAGAAATTTACTTACAGAGAATTTATTTGGCAATCATACTTATTTGATGAAATCTGTTGTCATATTAACAATTGTAACTCTTTTTTAATACTATAGCCATTGAGGTGCACTACACAGCATATAATAGCAATAAATTGGGTGTGCCGTATGAATATTGTGGGAAACAACAAGAGATATTACAAGTGGTGTCACCAACAAAGATTTGTCTCTATTAATTTCAAAGTTGATTATGCATTGGTAAGCTTAAGGATGTTTTAAGTTAGTTTCACATATGAAGCCATGTTATGACCTTCAATACATGTAGCAAGGGGTCAGGTGCTCTGCAAAACTGTACTTTGGAATAAAAACATACACTGGATAGACTTAATGTTTTATGTTAATCCTGAGGGCCGGAGCCTCTTCATGAAATTCGACATGTGTAGTGAAGTGTCACATCACCTTGCAAGTTTGAGGTTACATTTATAACATCATTCTGCTGGCAGGCATTGTACGTGCTTACAAAAATACACAGATTGTACTATGTTGCCTAAATCAATCCACTCTTCGTATTTGCAATCCATGAGGCTGTGACACAGGTCAAGAAAAAAATAACATCTATTTCCAGTAAGCCTTAAATTCAGTAACTAAGTATTTATAAATGAAAATGTGGACAAAGGAAAGTCAAATGAAATGTGAGTTTGCTTGTTTTAATTTCCTGTATACATGCGTATATACAGAGTAATATAGAGTAGTATAGGGAAAGTTCTGTAATGCTTGTGATTTCAAATGAAATACTCGTTTTGGGGTCCTCTGATTCCTAAAATGTGTTGTTTTTTTTGGTTCAAAACGTTCATCCATCTGTGAAAATCACTAGCATCTATACAACACATAGGTTTTTTGACAAAACAGATAATCTTCTGGCTCAAGGCGTTGAGATTTTGAAAAACTTCCTTCAAAACTTCGAGGTACTTTAGATGAAACATCCGAACATTTTCAAAATTTCCCCACAAACAGCTCCAATTTTTTTCTTTAAATTTCTTGTATATGAAAATGAGTTCATGAAAATAGAGTAAAATACACTTATAAATAGAGACCGGATTTTCATATAATTCCATATTTTTGCTTTTCTACTTACCAATCTAAAAATTTTAATATTGTCACCATCACAATATCAACATTTTTCGTTACATATTCTTACATATTTAGTAATATATTACATATCTTACTTATTTTGCTATTCTTAAATAATATTTTTTTATTCTATCAATTTTCTTCAATTTTCAGACTCTCTTTATGAAAAGAAGTATCAAAACACACTCTTATTTCCTACATCGTTACCGAGTGCTGTCTACTTGAGGTTTGTTACATGAAGACGGGGTAGGATGTTCTTACACTCCTGCTTGCCTCCATCAGTTACCTCAGTGGCAGGAAGTGCACATCAGTGACCGAGATCAGTTTCACCTTCAGGTGTGAAAAGTATAACTGATGCTGCGTCTCGTGAACTTTAATCTTCATTTCTGAGAAACTTTCCTATCGTCAACCATTGTCGACATGTAACTCTTCACTGAGAAAGCTGCACACTGCAGTGATTGATTGCTGGTCGGAGATATCGCCAGTTTGTACGATGGTTTCTATTGTGTCTAGTCTGGCAGCTAAACGACAGTACTGAATAGTAGTTGATGAAGGTTTTACAACAGACTGGAAAGTTTGTACTCTCCAAATTATTTTTAAAACGTTTGTATTATTTTTAAAACGTTTGTATTATTTTTAAAACGTTTGTATTATTTTTAAAATGTTTGTATTATTTTTAAAATTTGTTTCGGATATATTTATATAAATAAATTTCGTAAATGTTAATTTTATAATTAAATATTATAATTAGCATATTTTAATATTTCATATTTTACGTATTTTGATGTTTCATACAACATATATTTCCGGTCTCTACTTACAAAGGTGGCATAGGGTTGATTTTCATAGTTAACTCTGTATTTCTGAAAGTTGGAAAAGTTTAAGTTTTTTCGGCATCTTCCTAAACTATAAAATTGAAAAGAGATTTTTCCATCAAATGAAATTTGTTTTCCATAAGTTCTTTCATTAAATTTGTGTACATTTTTTTGACAATTTTAGTCACTTTCATGTAATACTGCGTGCAATGAATCCAATTAAAAAAAAATTAGAAAAACAAAATTTTCTAAAAAAGGCTCCAAATTTTTCTTTAAACATTGGTAGTGCTAAATACACTCTATAGAATGACATGAATGTCATATTGCTTTATTCCTTTGTTTTCCAAATATTACAAAAATGCAATTTTTTGACTTTTCTCTCACATCATTAATATTTACATTAGTGGCAATTTGTTCATATTATTGTATTTATGAGTACATGTGTTTTAAATAATGTCACAAATTTTCTCGAAAACTCAACAGTTTTCTGTTAAAATGAGCTCAAAATTCTGTATTTTCAGAAATACTCTAATGCTATTGTCTCAAAAAAAGTGCCAAATTTTTTCTTCTAACGTTTTCAGTGGTTAGTGCTAATTTCATTGTTAAAAAAGACGAAGTTCTTTTTGTTGTATTCTTTTGTTTTTTCAAAAATTACAAATGTGTATTTTTTTGAAAGTATAACTCATGCCTTTAATATGCACATTTCCACCTATTTGTAAATACTACTTCATTTGCGAGTTAAAGTACCTCAAATGACTTTAATTGAAGTTTTTCAAAAACATTTAGGGTTCTACTATTAGGAAACCGAAAGATTGAGAAAATGTCAAAAAAATGGCCTTTGAGAGATGATAGATGGCAGCTGGCAAGAGAATGTGGCAAGTCTGAATAACTAGTCCAGACCTAAGAAAATAGGAAACTAATAAAAAAAAGTCTGTGCCATTCGGTAGCACCACTAGTTTCTTTCTTTTTCCTTTCTTTTCAAATTTGCCTGCCTAACTTTTGTCAAAGCAGAAAGAAGATTCTAATTATATTAGGCTCCACCATCAAGTAGTTGCCAGTTTCTTTTGAAAATATGCTTTCAATTTTGGTAGCCTGTAATGCCTACTGTAATGCAGTTTAAAAAATTAAAGTACTTGATGAAGACATTAATTAATCTTTTCCATTTTGATCCGTACAACTTAAAAGTTTCTTCACCTCCTTCAATTTTCTTCAACAATATTGTAAAATATCAATCAGGAATGTCTATAATTAAATATTGTAACTCTGAAAGAAGTGTGCAAGAAATTTGAAAGAATAGATGGTCAGTGGGTCTTTAAGATTAAAGAATATTACTAAAAAGGGATAGATTGTAACCTGTATTTAATGAATATTTCGTTAAGTGTTTGGTCATTGAAAGCATTTTTAATAACATTTCACTAATTAGCAGACCATAAAAATTTGTACCGTATTTATTACAGATCATATGTCACAAAAGAGTAATTGTATCCTCTGGCATCATGCACATAAAAAATCACAGAAACAATATGGCATGTTTGCAAAAATTGACAGTTTACCTTATGCTGTTTTTCATGCGATTTTACTTTTGTCTTCTGCTCGTTGCCCCCAATATCAATTTTGGAACTGTTCTCTGCAGCAACATATGTCTGGGCCTGCTCTTCCAGAACAGGCTCACGAATTGTTATTCTGGAAGAAGGTTCACGAGACTGGATAGAAGGGGTCTCTATGGAATCATGAAGTTTCTTCCAGAAATCCCATAAATCACCTGATCGAGTGTAGTCTAATACAAAATAGTAGTTAAGTTCTGGGGGTAAGCGACATTGCTTGTGCATCACTGGGATTACCTTACGGCGTTTTTGATCTGGAATCAGAAATTCAGGTTAGGAACATGTAATGTTAGCAATCATCAACACAATACAATAGAATTAATAAGCTAATTACCTATTCCCAAGGCCTGAGCAAATGTACAAAAAAATTTGTTTGCTTCACTCTTCAAGAAGTTTTCTGATATGACAACAATGAGACGGTTACATCTGTCAGATATAAGTCTCATTATCGCTTCATGTTCAAACACATGGCCAGCAACTAGGTCTCGATCCCTGACACACAACTAATAAAAAGAAAGACAATAAAATTTAATGTCAATCTAACAAATTTTATAATGTAAATATTACTGATATAAAGCTGATTACAGCAATTTAAACTTTATATTTACATGGATGGTCAACTGCTTACTAAAAGCCACTCTACAAAGCACAATTCCACATTATTCTTTTGTGAACAATTTTGTCAATGTTTTACAAGACAAATTTTTTTTTATGACCAAATTTACATTCATAATTTGAGGAAGACAAGTGCTTTATTTACTTCTTTAACAAGAAAAACAGTTTAAAACTGGGTGTGATGTACTACAGGGAGAAGTGCTATTATTGACCATTCAACTTATAAAACATTTTTGATTGCAAAACTGTTGTTTTTCTGACAGTGAAATCAAATATGCCTTAAACACTGCAGCTCAATGTGTAGTCAACTCTTTTCACTATAATAAAGTTAGTCAAACCTAGACTAAAGACAAAGCTGTAATTTTGAATAAATAACTTACAAGTGCTTGTGCCTCTTGGGGTTATTTTTTGCAAATATTGGTGAGAAACTTTTTGAAGGATTTTGAACATGCTGGACTAATAAAAAGTTTAATTAATCCCAATTAAATTGAAAATTTTTTTTAAGTAGAATAAAACTGTTTACTAAGATTCATTTACAATCAGTCTTTTCAAGAATAAAACATACATTAAACACTTTTTATCAAGTGCAATAATTTCAATATTTGTTTGAATGTTTAATTGGTAATGCTGGTAAACAAGAGGACTAAATTGAAATAAATAACCCTTGGAGAGATCAAGTTTCAACGTACGTAATTCTCACTTGTTTAACTTTATTCTAGCAAATAAACCATATCTTCTTCACTGATGTCCATTACCTAAAGATTCCACTCTACAAGCTATGCGAGTCAACCATTGCCCTTAAACTAATTAGGCCCTAAAAAATAAGGTGAAAATCTGATTTTTAAATAGCCCCTGTAACACTTGAAAAACGCAAGGTTTACAATAAAACTCAGTTTATAGATTTTTCACTTATACAGTTTCTCATGTTTATACGTTTCTGTTTGGAAGTCCTAAACTTCCCATGCTATATTATTTCAGATAAGTGTTTTACATTCATATGGTTTTCACGCTTATACGATCATTAAGAAAATCCCTTCAAGAGCATATAACATCCACATGACAATATGTGACCAATAAGAGAGAATGTTTAAGTTATTGGGTCAGAGCCCAAGGAATATTTGTGTTGAATTCAGTATTCAGGTTGTTTAATTTTGTCGTTAACACAGGACGTTTCAACTGGTTTCAACACATCATTTAAGAATTTTGGACAAAACTACTGGATGAAAGGATATGGTACTAGTGTCGTCCACTGCTGCTTTGGTTCACCAACACCAACAATGCACAATAAAAATACAGCTCATTTACTTGTCACATGAGCGTTGAGTTAACACACGTCACTAGCGCTGATGGCGTCAGTTACGGTGATACCTGTTCACTAGTCACTTTAACTTGCATCATAGATTAATCCTACACTATGTAAAACAGCACATGTGTGCTCTTCGTGTTGTGCATTGTTCCCACAGCTCAAACAAGATGCTCGAACTACAACATAAGATAATGTGCATTTTCTAGCTTTCAACATGTGACAAGATTTGGAAACATTAGCTGACGTCATCAGCGTTAGATGACGCATATCAACGCAACGCACATGTTACACAGGCCTTAAAGGAAATATTGATACTCGAGGGAATGAACAATTTATAATTACATTAAAGGACTGGCTGCATAATGTGCGAATAACAGCGCTGCAGATCTTTGGATGGGGAGGGGGGGGCTTGTAGATTTTTGTTAAATATAAACATATTTGTTATTATATTGTATATTATTTGTGTACTGTAGATATGGCACAGTACATTATTATTTTTTAAATAATTACATAATTTGGACATAAATAAATTTTTAAATCAATTTTGCCAAATAAAGGAAAGTAAATGAAAACTCTAGGCCTTGCGGAGGGGGGGGTGGGGACATGCCCGCCCATGATCCACCAGTGAGAGCAAAGGATGTGTTACTGTTTCGTTAGCAATAAAAAGAGCAGTTTGTTGACCGATGCAAATAAGTTTTCTAATTCAGGAGCAAAAATGTCTATTTGTAAAAGTTGCAAACTGCTGTTTTGAAGCTTTTCGAAGGGAAGAGATTCTGGAGCTCACAAAATGTGCACAAATGGTACTTCTCCCCCACACGTTACATAGTTTCCACTGTTCTTTAACTAAATAAATCAAATCAAATAACTTGAAAGTAATGTTGGTAGGAGTTCTTGCGAGCAGGTCCAAAAGTGGAGCATGTCAATGTAAAAATTTTGAATTTTGGTTCAGCTTATATTATTCAGTTTCTGTTATGCGTTTTTCTCACTTATACATTTTTTCCCTTCAGTCCCCTGAAAAGCGTACAAGTGAAGTTTTACTGCATCTACTAGTTAGGTGTTACTATAACTGACAACCCAATGCACTGTAAACATTTCTTAATAGGTGATTAATTACAGCCCAAGCAAACACTTAAGGTCAAAACAATTAAATATCCAGTTTACTGAATGACTTTAACTCTCACCCACATTAGATGAATTTCTGTTGTTGATAAACTATCCAAAACAAAGGATTATATGATGTCACTATATTTCAAATTTTCCATTTGAATGAAACAAAGACACCCAATATGTACTCATACTCTTCTAGTTTGGTTGTGGGCCAATTTCACCTATCTTATTCCACTATACCCTCTATTTCCTAGTCAACAAAGAAACTTGAATCTAGCATTTCCGTGTATTTTAGACACAAGCTTCAGCTTTATATCAGTGTTTTTCCTTGAATAAAATATTGTAGATTACCTTTAAATTGTACTTGTTCTCCATCTCCTCAATAATTTTTACAGCAAATTCCTCATCTGCATCAGCATACAACAGGTATGCATTGTAGCGCTGTGGGGGAAGACCTTGCTCCAACCGCAACACATCATCTGCAACAACATTAACATTTGCACTGCATCAGCCTCCAATAACCCATGCAAGAAAACAAATACTTTGACCAGCAATTTATAGTCACACTGACAAGAGCTCCATTACTTAAAATATAAAAAAATTTATAATCGTTTTCAATAACTTGCAAAAACCAAAAGATGCAATGGAGAAAGTATCACGTTCCCAATACTTGTGTAAAATTAATTTCTGAAATTACATACTAATACAGTGAGATGCTTAGAATGAATGTATGTTGAAAACAAATTAAACAGTCTCTAAGAATACATTGGGACCAAAGTTCGAAGACTATTCCCTTAACTCTTCATGAGTAATTCTAATAAAAGGTTAATTCTTTTCATGACATGCATTTTCTGAGAAGTCAAGAGTTTGGTGGACGAGTTTTTGAGGAAACACCTTAGTAAAGCTCTGGTGCAATACCTCACAATGGAAGAATAGCACAAAATACAAAATCTATGGCAATTTGATTTAATGGAGAATTTAAGCCTAAAAATTCTTTGTTTACATTTGATCCTGTTGAACTAAGCCAAGAAGGATGAATGCAAAAGCAAAGAAACACTATGAATCGTGTTATTTTTGTTCAATACATGAAGAGAAACTTGTCAAAAATTACATGTAAAATAGTTTTAATAAGCATATTCTTATTTTTATTATATGACAGAAAGATATGTTCATTAAGATAGGCTTATATTGTCACTAATATTTAGTGTGCCCACATTCTGTTTAAAGAAGCTAAAAACTTCAATTCTTAAGCATATTTATGGTGACTGATATAGAATTTATTATGCATTTCCTACAAATCTTGTACTTAACGTAGATGAGCCAAATATAGGGTCCAAATCTGGCCAGTTCACAGCCTCGGGGAAAAGCTCGGTACATCATCGCAGTGTCAAAATCAGCAACTACTATAATATTACAATCATTATTTTAATCTTAAAAGAGGGTAGATTATTTGCTGACGTAAATACTTCCTATTGCATGGGTGTTCTACCATTGCATGTTGCATTTCTTGTTTACAAATTTTTCCAACAATGCTCATTGCTAGTTTTATTCAACTTAACATAGTAAAGAATGAAGAGGATCGAGATTCCAGAGCGAAAGAAAATATGCACAGATTGTATGCCTACCCTATAAGTTACTCATATTTTTAACTTTAACTTTTTCGTATACATACTTTTATACAAGAAATATTAGTATAGAGAAAGATATCGAATGCTGTGGAAAATCAATTTTGAGATTTCAACGGAAATACAACTTTTGGAGTTCCCAGAAGCAAAGCCACAGAATAACACAGTCTTTCCTGTATTTGTTTTCTATTTCCTTTGGTCTCAGCTAGCTATTCGAACATGACACATACCACTCCTTGCTGCCATCTATCACAGCCCAAAGTACATTTTTTTTAAATTGTCTTAATTTTTCGGTTCCCTAATACTAGAAAATAAATATTATTTTAAGAATATTAAAGAACAGTAAAACCTCATTTTAAATGGCAAAACAATGGCATTTTCTCACAAACATTTTGAGGCATTTTTAAGAAAATGGCATTTAAGTGATAAGTAAATTTGAAACTTAAAGAAATTTTTCACAGAATTTTTTTTAGTTTTCAAAAAACTTCATTTGAAGTCATTTGAAGCACATTAACTCACAAATACAATAGTGTTTATAAATTGCAGGAAATGTGCAAATTACTGGTGTGAGAGATCTTCCAAAAAAATTACAATTGTATAATTTTTTTTAAAACCCAAAAACTATGCCTAAGTGAGCTTTACCTCATATTAAAGAGAGTAATTAGCACTATTTTTTTGAAAAGTTCGAAGAAAAAATTTGGAGCTGTTTTTGAGAAAATGGCATTTGAGTGTTTTTGAATATGTGAAATTTTGAGCTAGTTTTGAAAGAAAATGGTTGAGTTTTTGAGAAGCTTTACACAACATTATTTATAGCACATGTACTCATAAATATAATAATGTGAACAAATTGCTGCTAAGGTATATATCAACATGAGAGACAAGTCAAAAAAATTATAGTATTGAAATTTTTGAAAAAACTAAAGAATAGAGCAATGTGGTGTTTACATCATCTAATAGAGTGCATTTGGCACAATCCCTACCAAAACTTTTCTTTAAAGTTTTTGAGAAAATCTCGATTTTGTAATTTTTTAAAATTGCATGAACACTAATAAAAATTTTAAAACGTACATGACCTTAATAAAAGCACAAATTACAGACAACAAATTTCATTTCAAGGAAAAATCTCTTTAATTATGTATTTCTAGGAATACCTCAAAAAAATTCAAACTTTTGAAAATTTCAAAAGTTTGAAGAGTTTTTTGTCAAAATCAGTCCTACGCCTCCTTTATGAGTGCATTTTAGTATATTCTTACAAGAAATCTGAATAAAATATTTGGAGCCATTTTTGAGAAAATTTTGAAAATGTCAGGGGGACTTCATGTAAATACTCCTAAATATTAATGAATGTTTTTCAAAATCGCAGAGCTGAATGGACTAGGGTTTCACTTTGGAAATAATTCTACATAAGGTTTATTGGCGCTAGTATTGTTCACATGCACCAGACAAAAAACACCTTTTCGGTATCAGGGGACCCTAAAACTTGTATTTCCATTCAAATCTCGAAATCAATTTTCTGCAGCGTTGCATAACTTTCCCTATACTACATATATTACTCAGTATTTACAAATGTATACAGGAAAGTAAAAACTAGCCCACAAAGAAATTATAAAACCAACTAGTAAAAGAATCTGTGCTATTCTGAAGTATCAGTAGTTTTCTGTTTTATAAAGAAATTAATTCCTAGTGAGCACCTAGAACAACAAAACAGTTTTGGGCTTACAACAAGTCAATGAAACTAACCTCTCGTTAATATTTCACGATCAAGATCTGCATCTACATCTGATGCAGAAGACAAGGCTCTTTCAACATTTTGGAGGTGCAAAACTGCATCTGCTTCTGAAATAGAGAGTGACCACATGCGCAAAAATCTTATTTTAAAAATTTTTAGTGAGTAAAAAGTCAATTTTAATTGCATAAAAATTTAACATTACATAGATTACTTATATTTAGATTGTTTATTTTAACTTAGATTACTTAGACAATAGAATTCAACAGTTTGTTCAAGATAATCGCCCATTCTTGAAATCACATTTTATCAAGGATTATTTTGCATACAAGAAAGCTGTTGGAGCAATTTTATTTTATTTCCCATTACCCATGAGATGCTTTGTATCATCCACGATATCCCATCGGTCCAACATTCCAAGATATTCATCCAACAGCCCAACAGATCCAGCAGTCCACTTCTTCAAGAGTTCACCAGTAGGATCAGGTTGTGAAACATGAGGTAGTAAATGAGGTGGTACTTTCATCAGGTGAGCCAATCCTCTCCAATCTCTGTAGGTAACAATCCAATTAAATAGCACAGTTGAAGAAAAAAAAAATTGAAATACATACAAAAACAAACATTAGAATTCCTACCTGGGTAAACCATCGCTGGTTGCAAGAACTTTGGGAGGGTTCAACAATGCCGAAATACTGCTCACAGTTGCAGGTCGCAAGGCTCTGAGAGGAATGTCATATAAATTCGGTACTGATGCTGCCGCCGCCCTTTAAAAAACAAAAAAACTGAATGGTCTAGTACAAAAAATGTATGCTCAATACTTTTTTTTAAAAATTAATGAGTTAATCAACTATATAAGTGTGTATGATATAAATATATGATTAATAAAATAATTTTCAGTTAATTAGTTAATCAACCAACTAAATTATCAATAACCTAGATCTGATTTTAGAACATTCAGCATTTAAGAACACCAAATGGTCTCTGATTTAAGAACAATTCCACATGATAAAAAATTGACAATACAAACTTATCAAAAATTCAGTGCCAAAATTCTTTTCAGCAAATACACTGCAACAATATAATTTGATTTTGATCTCAAAAATAAAATTAGATAAAGCCATTAACCATAAGTAATTAAATCACCCTGAAACATACACTTCTTGCAACCATGAAGTTTGTAAACATATTGAGTTCTTACAGACTTCGTGTTTGCAATATCCACAATTTCACATATTGAAACAATGAAGAAATTATTTACCAATGACAGGAAAAAGAAATATATATATAAGTAGTAAAATTGGGCTATATTTACATGTTAAATGTCAAAAATGCACTTGGATACGTGATCGCATAGAGGCCATATGGCGTAGTTGTCCTGTCGCTGTCCAAATTTTGAAGCCTTATCAACTAACATAATAGCAAGTGGTGACTTCTCCAACTACCAACGAACTCATCTCGCACTCACTATAACCATGAATAATACATTCAGATGTCACTTTCCGCTGACATAGGGCACACACTGGCTTGACATTTCCACAATTTTCATTACAAAACTTGGACAAGCGCATCTAACGTACTCTACAAACAACACCTGTTGACCTGTATCTTACACAAAACGTATAAAAAATTCCGATCTCTAAATTCGATATATACACACACACACAAACAATCCCACGAGAATCAACAAGTGACCGAGAGTGCTCATGGACGGAGCGCGAGACACAATCCTCCAATCAAAGCCAAGGGCACTCTCTCCATTAAAATTTATCATCATAGCATCATATGGCTTGACGTCTTCACAACGTGCCGTGTGTAAGATATAAAAATGGTAGAATTCATAGTTCAACCTCACATCATGAGTCTACATAAAGAAATTAATACTACTTCCTTTATATTTCTGTGTTCGGAAATGTAGGGCAATAGACAACAAAGTTATTCCCAATTTCTGAAGTTCTATATTACCAAAAGCAACTCTAAAGTTATTGAACTTTATCTTTTCTGTGGCATTAACTAAGACGTTTTCCAATTTATACAAGAGGTTTGTTTGGTATCGTACAATCAAAAAGATAATAAACAAGTGGTATATTGGCCTTCGCTACAATCTCCATATTTAGATTGTTAAGTATTTCTCATACAATTGTCGTAATCTCGTGCCGTAAAAATGTGAAATTTCGAAAACAATATTAATTCATTTTTATTATTTTGAAAAATGCACCAGTTTTCTAATACAATCCTCGGCCTTTATGTGCGTATTATCTGAATAATATTGGTCTCCTTCACAGCTAGAAACTGACAGGAGTTAGGGGGGGGGGGTTCTTTATCCAATCAGAGGCTTCAAATTATGATGATGTCACTGTCGATGCTAATTTTAAAACTAATGGTGCTAAGGAGCACATACTTTCTCGCAATATTGCAATGTTATCGTTGTGTGCGATATTACGTTGTGTGTGCGATATTACGTTGTGTACGCTTCATTAATTTATGAAAATGTAATGATTTATTAGGGAAGTGGTTTCAGATATGTTTAAACGGACTATATTCAATTTTATAATGTTATGAATCAAAACTTTTTTTAATTCCAGATAGTTGCTGAAATTTATTAAATAAGTTGTAGCTAGAGCCCCTAGCCAGCTAATTGCAACTACATTTACATTTCTACATACATGGACTTGAAAACTATTCTCACACAATGCCAAATAATAATAAAAAATGCCAAAAAAATAATCTAGTTAAATATCAAGATATGCAGTTTTTCAAATAACTACATAGAAATTCATACCTTAAGTAATTCAAGTATTACTTAAAACCACATATTTTTGCAAGGACTCCAAAAATGTGCAGTAGGAAAAAATATGGTTTGTCATTTGCAGGGATGAAGGAATTTATGATAGAATATGCCCTCTACAAACATAAAGTTCATGATAAATGTGTTGTTAAGCATTTGCTATTGTACTTCAAATATCTTGGTTTGAACACAAAAATACAAAGGGCTTTCACTCTCTCAACACTTTCCTAAATGTCTATTTGACACTTACTGAGAAAAATTTTGAAAGGGAAATACGGAGGGAGTCATGTGAGAAATATTCTTTAAGAGAATTAAAATCAATGTCAATGTTTGACAAAATTAATTATTATTAAAATTAATTGAATTAATTAATTCACACATTGAATGGCATTAGAAGCAATTATTTTTATTACTTTCATTGGGCTTGAACAAAAAAGCCAAAAGACTTTAAATATAATTCTAAGAATATATGTCCAGAAATATTGTTTACTTATCTTGAAAAACATTATGACAATACAATTGTAATGCAATTCTTACCATTTACACTTACCAATTTCAAACAGAAATTATGCAAAAACGACTACCTCTCACAAAACATTGTATGTGACTTTTTTTTTAAGAGCTAATTTTGTATAAAATACTTTTTTTCGTTATTTAAGGTCGCATCAACATGTAGGTTATTAGCGACTACTATTGCATTTAACGGAATGGTAACTGTAAAGATAACATGATATGGTGATGATAGAGGGTGAAAGGACAAACACAAATTCAACCATGCCCGAGGCAGGACTCGAACACCGATCCTTCGGTCCAAGATCGTTACGGCATTATTGCCTTCACGATCTCGGCCATCCGGACCGGCTTACCCCAGACTTTGTAGGAGGCAAACAACTCTATCCTCCAATTTTGCAATTAAAAACAAATTCAGTTTGCTCGGTTGCTCTGAATCGGGGAGGAAGGTCGGAACCACGCGTACCTTACCATACATAACGCAATAAAACATATTTTTCAATTCCTGAATTTACACAAAAAAATCCTTAAATTTCAACTTAATCGAAGTTTTAAGAGGTAAGTTGTTGATCCCAGCAGGGCGCGTGCGCTGGACCGAAGGTTGGGGCTAGACGCACGATGTTCTCATCCGACATAGATGCAACAGACTCTCACTTTTGACTAATAATCTTTCGCGGGCCACATAAATAGCACCGCGGGACGCCTGTTGGACATCCCTGGCTCTATCGTTGACCACAGACAGGCAGACAGACGAACGGACAGACGATTTGCTGTCATTCGATTTTCCGGTATGAAGGACCCAAAAAACATGAATTCTAGCTACTCTACGAGTTAGAAGAATTTATTTTCTATATTTAGAAACAGGATTTATCCCTTTTTAGTTACCAGAGTCCGGCAAAAAAAGTTTTGCCGTTTTTCGGCGAGTGATTCCATAACTTTCTCTTCTTATTAAGTACCCTTCGTAATTGCGAGAAAATGAAATCCACTTTTTCGGTATCAAGGACTCACTATTTATGAAATATGACATAACTGTTAGACGGAGTAATTTACTTCACAGTACAATAGAATTTATCTACTTTTTCTGTACTAGGTCCCAGACTACGAGTTTTTCTGTCGAAAAATCGCCGTTTTTTGCCGCAACATTACGTTAGTTTTTCTATTACGCTAGATCGAAGGAGGGTTTCGGCTTACTATGTATATAAGTACGTATGCGAGAAAGTAAAAAGCACCAATTTACTCAATTCAATTGCTTTTTATTGCTATCTTAATTTTTCTTTGTGAACAAGTATATTAATTTCTTCTGAAAATAATAAACAATTTACGTTTGTTGTGTTTATACGTGTCTAGGACAAAGGGTACCTCCAGATAAGATGGTAAAAAGGTCCCCTAAAACAAATGACATATGATTAATAAACTATAACTAACATAAAAATAATATTTTGAAAGGTTTCTTGGTCCCTCTACCCACATTCATCTACAGTCAAAAACGAGTTTTTTTTAATTTTATTTTTTCGCCAACTTAACACTATTTTATCTGATTGAAAAAATATGAAGAAATGAAAATAATCCACACAATTAAAAAAGCATTTTTTGATATTTTCTCAGCGCCAAATTCAAATGCAAAAACAAAAAAATTTTACAAAAATAAAAAAATATTTTTACCATGTCTTAGAATTAAGGAATAGGCTCAAAAAATTCCCAAAGGTTCCTCTCAAAACACAAATTGTTGTGAATTTATTTCAGATTTTTTCGACGTAGGAGCTGCAGTTTAAAAAATTAAAAAAAAACAATTTTTACTATTTTCCCGCACTTACATCGCCTTCACTTTAAATATACTTTGAAAATGTCTGCCACAGTTCTATGCATTTATTTTAGAGTTTATTATACATTTGTATACATCGTTGTAGCACCCAGTAATATTTTGATTTTATATGTAACAAAGTATCATGTTTTTAAAGCTTTCTAATCCTTTGTATACGTATACCATACAGTATAGAAAGACGATAGTTTTTGGCAGTTTATGAGAAAACAAATCGGTAACAGGTGAACGATAAGTGGGGAACTTGTGGGGAAATGGAGTACAAAAATTTATTATCAAGAGCCGTTTTACTGTGTCTTTCTTGTAGAACAACGGACCAGGCACGAAACAATCTTAAAACTTTCTGTCAGAACACATGTAAAGATTTTTTGATATTTTCAATTGCTGAGCCATAGTTAAAACTAGTGGTGTTAAAACATGTACTTTCTCGTCTGTAGTAATGGTTACGTAATACTATTTACACCACATTTTCACTTCAAATTAACACATCTCAGTCGTATTTTTTTGTAAAACTTTTTTGAAATCGTAGAACATTTGGAGCGAAAATTAAATAGTTTCAAGCAATAGATTTGTTATTCAAACCATTCAATGAAAATATCTTTCTGACATTGAATTCGTTGTATAAGGTGTGCAGTGTATTCATGAACATAACTGGAACGCCTTGAGGGGATAAAAAATCGCAGTATAGATTCGTACCAAATGCCGCGGTCTTAAGAGAGATCGGTAGTGAAGGAATTTGTATTTAAAAATGAAACATGCTGACACACTTATGCATTTGTGCTTTAGAGTGCAGTTACAGAGAAGCGACCAACGCTACTGGTCGTACAAAACTAAACCGCAGCTAGAACGTGCTGCTCTGGGAGACGTTTCACCAGAGACTGTTGTGTTTAGGAGAACACTTGAGATAGAGCGGATAGTTTCTGGTAGATTTGCGGATATTAAAAGGCAAGATATCCTTGCAACAACGTCCGAAAAACACTCGCTAGTGGTACAAATTCATGCCAGTACAGTATGGGGTTGGGAAAGTTAGGTTCACAAAGGGTCGGGAGATGGATGCAACGTAGATTGAAAGACTGGGATGGTAATGGCATCTGTGTGCGCTGTGCTAGCGTTTTTCACAGACAGACATGCGGACGCACTGTTGACCCCCTTGCCCTTCTTACCTTACCTGCGGGCTAGCTCAGATGGCATTGGGTCACTCAGTGGCTAGCTCAGACGGACGTTGTTTAAAAATGAAAGAAGTTATTGAATAAGGTGAAATGTAAAGTGTAATGACTAAAAACAAGCAGAGCAAGAAGTGAGTTTCTACCTGAGCTCATTTTCTCCCAAAACAAAACTTATTCTAGTTAAAATCTAACACCCAGGATAATCTTAAGGCTACACTTACAGAAAATTAGTTTGCCAATTGAATTTTATTCTAGCCAATAGGTGGCTGCGAACCGTTGCCTGAGTTACACAAAAATATTTGAGCAAGAGTCCATTTTTCAATATTACCTTTTAGGGCCTAACTGGAACCATTGCCTGGCTGTGCAATGACATCACCCGTGTTGTTGTGAAGGTCATTCGCCCCTTCCTGCTGTTTCGTCCTTTCACCGTGCACCAAGAAGTGCATCGGCCTCGGTTCTGGGTCTGGGGCGGAAGTTCTAGCGACAGGAAGCAGGAGGCCGGCGGGCTGAATCGTGACTCACACTACCAAAGGTCACCAACTTCTTGACATCACCGATTTTCCGGAAATTGAAAAAAAACTAAATCTTCAAATTGAAGATACAGATTTTTGTCTCAAAGTCTATTGTACAAAATTAGCTCTTTAAAAAAGATAATTTACTTTTTTTTAAAACTAGTTTTTGCATTGAGACTGAAATGTACGATTTTTTCTCAAAACTGCTCCAAATTGTTTTCTTTAAATTTTCTTCACTTATGTAATAAGAGACTATTAAAATGTTCTGCTTGTCCTATTTTAAAATTTTAAATAAAAACATTTTAAAACTTCGAAATTGAAGATAGAGATTTTTACTTCAGACAGTCAGTTAAACAAAATTAGCTCTTCGAAAAAGGTTATGAACATTTTTTTTTAAAAGGAGTGGTTTTGCGATAACAATTAACAAAACAATTTTCAAAAACCGCTCTAAATTTTTTCTTAAAATTTTGTCCACGTACGTAATAAGAAACGGCAAGAAATACGGCGTTAGTCTAATTTTCGGGTATAGCTAGTGTTTTTTGAAAATCGCAAAAAATACTTTCAAAAATACAGAATTGAAGATAAATGTTTGCCTCAAAGTCTGTTGCACAAAATAAGCTCTTTAAAAAGGCCATGTACAATACAATTTTTTTAAAGTCGTTTCTGCTTGAAATTAATGAAGTATATAGAGTTTTACACCAACTACGGGCCACGAGAAGATTGAATGAATGATATGAAAAATTATTAATTCAATTTTAACTAGTTGAACCCGTGCGATTGATTACAATGCACAGGAGAGATGTAGATAGGTTACCACAGAAAATACTGCATTTTCGTTAATATACACGTTTTATATCATCCGTGCGTACAATTCTCGATGCTTTGCTGCGTCTGAGTCCCATCGCATTGTCAGGGTTCGTTTCCTCGCCATTCTATTATATCCACCACATATCAAAGTAAAATATATATCGATTTTCAATATTATTATCAAATCAGTAACACTAGCCAACATGTACACCAATACATGTTATTACTACTTCATTATACATTTGCAGACGGCAGAATTAGAAACTAGAATTGTTTTGAAAGTGAGGGCCCGCCGATGTCATACAGCATCTGATATTTCTTTTTTGAGCTTTGTGTGTGTGTGTGTGTGTGTGTGTGTGTGTGTGTGTGAAGTCTGCGAAAAAATATAAACCACTTCGGTAAGCGTTCGAGAGTGCGTTCTGGCTGAAAACTAATTATAAATAATGTGAACCATTGACTCAAGGAAAAGAAAAAGGAGTTATAGAAATACCTATGGACAGCGCTGCAGTACAATACAATTTGTCATCGAAAAATTCTCTTGGTAACTTTCTTTTTAATCGGTTGCGATGAGGATTTTGCTTACCAATGTGAAAGTGAAAGGATCTTTAATATTTTGGAATAGAATTTTGCGGATAAGAGGGATACAAAAATTTTGCGCGTTTTCTGCGCCAGGCGGGTGGCCGCTTTAAATTGATTTCAGTAGTGATACTCGTAGCGGCAGAAACATTTGTATAGAGCTAGATCTGGTAGCGAAGGAGTATTCTGTGTGACAGTGACGTAACTCATGCTTAGAACAGGGTGGGAGCAAGCCGCGCATTCACGTTTAATGTGAAAGCCTTGTAAATTTTTTCGGGCGCAATAATTTTGAATTGTAATTACTTTGTAAATAATTGCTTGGGCATTTTATTGTATTTTGTTAAATCCATTTATTTGTGAAGGAGAGTAAGTTAGTGTAAACAGGTTATTTGTTAAAATTTGTGAGTATAATTGGATTAAGAATTTGAACTATGAGTGTTACGATGCCACAAACTGTAATGAGAACAAATGTTTACATGTTTTCACTTACCGAGCCGTGCACGGTGATATTATATATAAATATATACTGAATTGATATAATATCAATTCTGTGTAATCAGATTAATCTCAAAGTTTTTTTCCGCATATTGTAAGAGCAATAGGTAATTTGATTTGTGCCTTTTGGGATCAAAGATCGAACATAAGAATTCGAGGGTCGTTATTTGTTTGTGCCATATATCCTTTATTTTGTGTGTTTGTATTCATTTGTAGCAGAATATATGCACCAAGTTGTTTAATTTCTATGTCTTGGGTCTTCTTTCACACCCAAAAATCCTGAGATAAAATCAAGCTAGTTTTTGAGCATCCGTCTGCGTCTCCACTTAGATGCCTGTGAGTGCCAATTAGCTACGTCATCAGAATATTTTCCTTGTCATTCTTTGCTGCTTGAAATTTTAAGATATGTCCCAAATTTCAAATTGTAGTTATTTAAATGTTATGCAATTTTTAAAATGTTAATAATTGTGGAATAATAACAGTAAGAGGAGGAAAATGTTAAATATGCCACGTAATCCCACTAGTTTTAATTTAGTAGAGACCAATTTATTTCGTAAGGAAGGGGTGAATCTCATACATTAATGTCACAAAATACTGATTTATAAATAAATAGGGAAGGCCATGGTAGTATTCCAGGCTCACAAAAGAGGTGTTTTCTGGGATTCTCGTAGTTTGTGATAAAAGAATATAATACTCTGTAGCATTCTCTGTGACACTAATTGCACAGAGTAATTCAATGTCAGTCTGATGTAACGTTTATGTCTTGCATAAAACAATAATCTCTGTAGCACCACAGTCTCCGGCAGCACCGCGATAACGCAATGATATGCCAAGGTCATAACTGGTGTGTAGCGCTATCGGAGAGAAAGGAATAGAATTACTCTTTTAGTATTTTTTGATGAGCCGAATCCATGATGCTGAGCAACGATTGCCTTAAGCAACTACACTTTTCAAATTTTGGCAGTTGAGTTCTAACAATTGTATTTAATTGTCAAAAACATAAAAAACTGTATGTAACCTATTGGGGAAAGGTCAATCTTCAACCCTTTTCTTGAACTCTATAATATTTTACCCATTTCGGTACTACATTTAGTTGAGTCACGAATAACGGTACTTTTCCAATAAGCGTGAATCGTAACATCAAAAGTAGAAATGATCAATTGTGAATAACGAAAAACATATTTGCTTCAGCAAAAACACTGCGGACTAGCATTTATGGTATCCCTAAAAAATTACACCCCTCCTAAACCTACTCCCCTGCAACTAGCAAAATGATAGTACAACCAAACGTGGGCATAATTTAGCTACATTTCAAGCTCAGAAGAAAATAAAGATACCATATCTCAGAATTTACTCAATGGAACGAGGGAACTGGACGAAAATTCTAATCGAGACGCAGGTCACTGAAGAAGTTGAAGTACAATAATTGTTAGAGGTGTGTTTAGACATAGAATGTTTCAGTACGAAAAGTACCCAATGCATGTAACGTGCAAGTAACCTGAAGCAGCAAATCTTCCGCTGAACGAAACTACACAAAATTGCTTTCCAAGACGACCAATACTGTTGAAGAACAACTAATAAAATATTCGTGTTCAACATTACAATACATTAAATGTTTTAACAAAAACAATTTCCACGAATACTGCAATAACAAAGAGTTTGTGTATTTATAACACATACTATTCATGGGGAATAAATGGAAGCACATAAACAGCAAATATTTAATGATGAGCGGGCTCTTCCTTAGAATCTTGCTGTGGCACGATATTATGTGTGTCTTAAACAGTGACCCAGTGAATACGAGAACTCAGTCGGTGCACCAAGAACGAGATTAGGCGGATAACAATCCATATATTTGCATTTTTCGGTCAAAATGGAAACCCAGTTATTGTTTTCGGATTTTTCCTGGGGTTTGAACGAAGTCAGACACCTGTCACGTAGCTGGAGGCTATTTAATTTTCTTTCAATTTCTGCACGCATTGGAAACTAGTAATTTGTATACTTATTCTGGTCATTGAATTTGTGCGCTGAAACGTTTTCACA